CAATACTAACAATTTTTTGAAAACATATTTTTAATATTTGAAATTAAACTTTTTGTTAAAAAAAATTATAATCTCTTACGTAAATGGTAATTTTGTTAATAAATTTTTGCTTTGTCTTGGTACAAAGAAGTTCGTTTTATGTAAAAAAGTTGTTATTTTAAAAATATTACCCTTATAAGAAATATCCCTTACTAAAAAATTTAATAATAGCTTTAATTCATTGTATATCTCGTCGAAAGTTTGTGTAAATACCTAAGCTTCATTCCTGCGGTCTGCTCAAAAATATCCCTAAAAAGGGAATTTTTGTTTTTAATTAAATCAAATATCTTTAAAATTAAAACTACTATTTTTAGTTCACATAAAAAATATTTGGATAATATTAGCTTATTTTTTACATAATTTAACTTAAAATAACATGCAAATTAATTACTTTTAAGTACAGTGCACAATATCTGCTGACATCATAATCAACGGCCATTTCTAATTGCAAAATTGTAATATATTTCATTTCTGAATTGTTAAGAAATTGTTAAAAACAATTTAACTAAACCTTTTCCTTAGACATTTCAAAAAAAAAAGTGAACCAAATTTTTTTTTCTTAATTTACATCCCCAGCTTTTAAAAATAAATTTCCAATTATTTTTTCCAGTTCCGCTACCCTTTTATTATTACCTATTCCTGGGCAAACACTTTTTCCACTCCCATTATGAAAAAAATGAACGTTTGATATAAATAGGCTGAAATGTATTTTCCCTCGCTTTAATTAACTTTATGACAAATGAACACTAAAATATGCATACACTCAATTTTAACCCTTCAAGCTACACACCTACTTATATCCGTATATAAAACTGGTAAATTTTTGAGTGACTCAATGAAACATTCATAAGAAAAGCCACAAAGATTTAAATGGAAATAAGCTTAAATGGGGACGATTTTTTTATTGCTGTTATTTAGCAGCAAGCTTTAAGGTGGCTAAAATGTGATTATTAAATTCGAATGGGTTTGGTTGTGAAGTGTCTTATAATCCCTGCTGAGGTGCGGATGGATTAGGAGCAGGTTATGTGGGAACTTTGTGACTGGAGGTATTCGCCTTATATGAAAAATGTTTTAGAGTGGAGGAAATCTAATTGTAGTCAGAAGCAAAGTGCTGTAGGAATATCTTAATTTTAAGCAGTAGCAGTGTAGAGGAAACCTAAGTGTAATCAGTAGCGAAGTGCATACCAACCCTGTTGTAGAAAATTTATGTCTATGAAATATTTAAATTTTTGAAAATCCAATTTGATTATGTTCAGTAGTAAAGTCTATACTAAGCCTGCGGGAAAAATAATATGTGTATGAAATCTTTGCTTTATGAAAGATCTAAGGTCTACTATAGAGTTCTTTGACAAAAGCCTATTAGGTATTAAAAATGTTAATTTTCAGAAAATCAATTATAACTTTATTCGGTAATGATGTGTCCACTATCGTTGTAGGGAGTAAAACTGTCAATGAAGTTTTCAATGTTTTTAAATGTCTGTCCTCTTATAGAATGCCTAGGCAGTGGTATACTTTTAAATAAAGAAATCCATAATTTATCCAGTAACAAAGCATATATCAACCCTATAARAAGTATTTGAGGTCAGCGCGGTGATATTTTTTTTTTTCTAGTTTGAACTTCAGAATTACCGTGGAAATATATTATACTTCAAACATAATAAAGTAAAACAAATACCTCTGTAATTAACATGGCTTAATCCTTAAGCAAACAAAATTCTCCTATTTGGTAAGGTGCCAAAAGAACTTGGTCATATGCGATAGGCAAGTTGATTCTAAAATACTCGTAATTACATTAAAATAAATAAATAATATATATAAAACAATTAAATCTATTACTAACAGGTTTAACAGCTCATCATTTGCCTGTGTCGTGGTTGCTTTCCTAGCGGGTCTCTTTATGCGCTTGTTCGTGTCAGTAGTTAAAAGTAACTCGTCATTTCCTATGCTAACATTTGTTTGTAATGAAAACAAAATTCAAAATAATGATTTTTCACATATGAAATTCATACATATTTAATACAAACTTACTTCAATACTTTTGTATGAGAGTCCAGCTGAAAAGTAAGTACAACTACTTATGCGCATATGAGTATGTTATGAAAAGGCAGCAAATCATTTTAGGTTGATTAATTTGCATATGAAATGTTGCACACCCAAATATAATTTCCGGACTCAACATAAGTTGAACCACTACAATGTGAATGAAAGGGAAAATATTTAATGTTGGCTTACAGAGTAACATACATACATACACAAACAGATATTTTTGACTGTCGTAAAATGGGTTGCTGTATAAATTCCTATAAATTATATCACATATAATCTTTTGCGTATATATGATGACGGTAAAGCACAAGTAAGGGTAGTAAACACACCAAAAACTGGAGTGCCCATAAAAATTACAAAAAAAAAAAATTCAAAAATATCAAAACAAAGTACAACAAATGCCGACACACAGCGCGCTAATAACGCGGACAAAAAAAAAATTACAATGCTTTACCCTTCACGGGCATTACTGCTGAATGCTGACATATGCTCCGCTTTGTTGCATACTTTTATGCGCTAATGCATAAAATGGAGCACCTTTCGGTCCAACCCCATGAATGTAGAGACATTTTACGCCGCTTGTTAAATGCTTTTTCCGTGTCATCACTGCGGAAACAAGTTACGCCTACTTTTACACCAGCGCCATGTACTTCTCGAATCTCAACTTGATAATATTTTGTCTTTACATAAACTCTGCTAATATTATTTCAACCCTTTGCTGTTGATGGTTTTGGCTCAACTTGCACACCTTGCTCACTTTTTCACTGTGTAATCATTATATTGCAATGATTTTTCAAAATAAGCATAAATACACACAAACACAGTAAGAATAAGCCAATACGCCCTAAAGCGTGCTAGACATTAGCAAATTTGCGCACGCTTGACAGCGACAAGCACGCAAGTATGCATTTTCCAGTAGCAAGTGCACAGTTGCCTATTGTTTGTCAGCAATTTATGTTGCAGTGGTATATTGAGGCAATTCGGCTTGGCATTGCTAGACTTTCGCCATTGAGACTAAGTTATTATTATATTTTTTTTATTGGCAATACCGTTTTTCCCAAAAATTGCATGCAACAATCACATGATGGCGTCGTTAGTCTGCTGGCAGTCAACAGCAACAGCAAAGCGGACTCCACAACACAACAACAATAAACAAATAAATAGAGAAATTGACATATGCTGGCAAAAAAACGAAAAATTCACGTTTGGGCGTCGTCGTTAACTGTCTGCACGCGATTTGCGAGTGCGTTGGACGTCTACGAGTGTCTGCCCCGTACACGTGGAACACAACAAATATGCACTGTTGCCCACAACCAACACCCTCACCGCTGCTGCAGAAGGCAATCAGCCTAACCTTTGCCTTTGTTGGCTCAAGTACTTTAGTTTGTTTTGTTTTTTGTACGCTGTTTGCTTTTACTGCCCCCTTTAACAACTTAAATTACAATTTTATTAAGCACACGAAAGGCGCTTTGATAGCATTTAATGTCTCGAATTCGCATTATTGGCGCCATTTGGGCGCATAGCTGGCACCGAGGGGGTTAAATAGTACAGTGTGTGGCAACTAGTTAAGGTGAAACCGAAATGAAGTCATGAAAATATAGTAAAGAGATCACTGAGACTCTTTAAGGGAACTTTCCTCGATAGAAATATGGGGACAGGTTCACAAGTAGTTCTTCATTAAAAAGTGAGGAAAAATGATATACAATTCAGGTAAAACTTTTGAACTTATCTAAAACAAATATTAAATTATATGCTAATTACCAAAAAAATCGTCAAAGACGCAAACCTAATAAGCTGTCAGTGTTTCAAACTTTTCCCATGCAACTATTCATAAAAAGTCTTTATACTAAGCTATTTGTGCCTTCATAAGATAACATAAAGTGATTTTTTGTGAAAGACATTGCAGAAAAAAGAAAAATCATGTGAAAAGTTTCGACAAACTTTTAAAAACGAGAGTCTTGTATATGGCGCTAATCTTAAATCTAACGAACTAGAAAACTAATACAGAGAAAAATTGCTAGATACAAATTTAGACCACAATATCTCTATTAGGCTGTTCACGGTAAGGTGGTTATCGGGTTATGTGGTTATTAGATTAAAAATAACCTCTATGATCCGTGAACATCCCATATTGTATGGTTATGTGCTTATTTTCACACAAACAGCTGTTCATTGTTTACATTTTAAGTTCAATGAAATTTCTACTTATAAAATGCCTAAACAAAGTTTRAAARGCAACATAATTGAATTTAAAATAAGTTCTGCTATTCAGGAAATGGACTTTATTGAAGGTATGTGCTTATTAAATAATCCGAATTTTAAGAGTTTAAAAGATTCTTTGTATAAAATTTGCAGACATCTTGACCCCTGAACAGTGTCACAATGCAATTGTAAACAAATAACAGCTCTTAATAGCAGAATTTCCAATTAAAAAATATAAATGGAAATGCCATTGGCTTAGATTTATTTATTTTTTGTGCTGCCATTTAGTAAAACTCCAACGACTTTCTAACACTGGAAATAAGCAAACAACCACATAATCTGTAAACAAGGGTCTGGGTTCGTCAAAGTTGGTTATTTTGTCATACCGCATTTTGTTGTTGTTTACTTAATCACATAACCACATAACCCGATATCCACCTTATCGTGAACAGCCTATATGTTCTGGTAGATCAATTCCGAAAAAAGCAATGGGGCTCAATGAATTATGCATTATGTCATACAAATAGTAAGTCGTCGGCTTATAATGCTAAGCTTCAGTACGAATTCCTTAGTTACACTGAAGTTCTTATGATAAGCATAGTTTATAAATTATATGAGCAAACTATGAAAGTTATACAGTGCACCCGGTTTGGAATTCACATATTACTAATTAAATAAGGTAACATTTTAAAAAATCTTCAAAGCTGACTCACCTTCCCACGGACAACCGACAATTTCGGCACGTAGACACACCGTTCGATCGTATTGTCCATATGGATAAATACGAATTTTTGACGCAAAAATAATAGGTTGCAACAAGTTCTCCACCTCACTGTATGTGTTGATGTTGCCAGACAGGATCTAGGTATGAAAAGAAAAGAAATTTCATTGAATATCTAATCAATAATTACGACAAGATGGTAGAAAATAATTATTAAATATGTTATATTTGCTGTCTCAACAAATTTGTAATAGGCTCTAACCGCTTTTGTCGATTTATGATTCGGCGTTATAAGCTGTTCAAGTTAGTTACCTATTAAGATCAACCAGTTAACATAAACTAGATTCCACTGCGTTCAAGAAACGAAGATTTTCGATAATGTTCGATCATTTTTCTTTTAATTGAATTATAGAGCTAAGTGTGTTCGCTGTACGAATCGACCAATTAACATAAACTAACCTGACCTAGGTTCTATAAGAAAGCTTTTCGCAATATCTGGATCACTTTTAATGAGCTTTTTAATAATGAATTAATAGAGATAAAACATTAATAGAAACGTTACAATAAAGAAAAGACTTTTTCGTCAAGAGTAAAAAATCAAGCCTGACCTATACGGAGGTGGCTATATATATTTCTGGCATTTTCATTGGAAAGTTTGACATTTTTTAGCATAACATCACTCACTTTTTTGTCATTTAATCGTGAATTGTTTTATTTACAGGGAATTAAAAAATTCATCTCGGCCAAGAAATGGAATTAACTCGTGAAAATTTTCGTGCGATCATTTTTCACAACTTTCGACGTGGATTATCACGACAAGATGAACTAAAATCTTTGTATGGCTTTGAAGCACCATCCTATAGCACTGTGAAAAACTGGTA